TCAACAGAGCAGTTAATAAATTTAAAAACCACACCTGCCACCTAGGATGAAATGTCCAGAAGCACAGGCTCTAAAATCCAAAGGAGAAGCTGCATCTTGTGGGGGTCCCGGCTGCGGCCCCACCCCCGTGACGTCTGAGCACAGGCCAGTCCAGAACCGCCTTCCTCCTCTCCGCTCTCCTCCCGTCGTCTTCTAGACTCTCATGCCCCCGCCCTCTAGCTCCCATGTCCTTAGGGCCTGGATGCTTCCAAAGTCAGGCTTCCTGCGTTCGGCTGCCCACATCAGCGCTCATCCGCTGGCTGACTTGCAAGTTACTTCGGCTCTCCGTCCTCAGGGCCCATAAGAACATTGCCGCTCACCCAGTACCCAGGCCATGGCGCTGGTTAATGAACTAACGCTCCAGGAAGAGTTTCTGGCACCAGGGACGGTCTGTCAACAGCATTGACAGGGAAAGAGCCGCCCACACTTCCTGTGATCAGAGGAGACTCTCAAACGCAGGTCGGATCGCCCCATCCCCCACCCCGCGCCCCGAGTTGGAAGTTGCCAGCGACACCAAGCACACGTGGGAATGCCTGTCGCGCTGACTGTCACCTCCTGTCTCAGCCCTACGCCCCCGCTGCACAGCACGGCAGCAGCGCCTCCCGCTTCCCCGGCGCCCCGGGGCCTCGGCACCTGCAGCGCCCCCTCCGCCTGGACTTCTGCACCAGCAGCGCCGCCCGCGTCCCCGCTTCCCGGGTCCCGCCGACACACATCCCCGCTCCCCCGACTAACTCCGGCTCGTCCTCGGGTCGCGCCCTCCAGGCGTCCGGCACCGCTCAGCGCGCACAGCACGCACTCAGAGGACTCCGCTCGGACGTTCGACTGACCCCGAGGCCGAGGTAGCCTTAAGAGCTCCCGCCTCCGCCTCTCGCCGCCGTCCCCCTGTGGGTGTGGCCGGAACGGCGGGCCCGCCCCTGACGTGATCGCTGTGCGCCGACCGCCCATCGTCCTGGATACGCAGGACGCGTGCGCGGAAGCTGCGCCGGGGGTGAGGCGCTTGGGATGCTTTCCCCGCCTCCCGGCACGGGCTCGCCCACCTGTCCTGTCCTGCTGGGGGCCTCTGGCGATGTTTCCGCGCAGAGAGCCTCAGTGTGAGCGCGGACCTCCCTCCGTGGGGACCCCTGGGATGTTTGTTTCACAAGCGGATTCCGGGGCCCAGCCCGGAGCTACTGATGCGAACCTATGGCCGGGGCCGGGGTCGTTCCAAGTTAGCATCCCGCGTGCGGTCGTGGCGGGAACAGCAACTGTGACTTGGGGACAGTGTTTGGAATCCTTGGATAACAACGACCACGCGGCTATAGTTTTGGTTCCTGGTGCCGCTCTGACAGAAATCTACCACCAATGGGATGGCTTTAACAGTTTATTTTCTTACAGCTTGGAGGCTTTACATCCAAGTTCAAAGTGCCAGGCTCTAGGGGCTGGGTGAAAGCCCTTCCACCTTGGGCTTCAGCTCTACCTCCTGCTCCCGGCCCACTGAAGCTAGAGCCCTTTCACTCAGACAGCTGCTGGCTGCTGAGGCTGGCAAGCCCAAGGTTGACAAATGAAAGGGCACAGTCCCAACGCTACAAACAACACTGCTTCAAGTCCAGAAAAAGTCCCAAGTTTGGCAGGGCATGGCTGGCTGCTGAACAACGACTTGGCTACATGCAGGGTCAAGCGCGCCAAAAGGCTGAAGACCATCCTCAAAGCTACTGCTCATATGCTGGAGGCAGACCACATCCCTAAAGCTGCTCCAGTAGATTCCACCATGGAGTTGATTGCTGATATCACCATGGGGAGTCACTACCTCCAGCTGCCCAGCCATTCAACCAGGCCCAGCCACGCTGACACACAACCACCACAATCGCCGTGTTGTCTTCCAACCACAGCCTCCTGATCTACATACAGGCTCCTCATCAGCACAATTAAGTGTTCTGAAATTCCCATTTTCTGTAATGTAATTTGTTATGATCCACACAGTCAAATGCCTTTGCATAGTCAGTAAAACATAGGTAAACATCTTTCTGGAACTCTTTATTTTCAGCGAAGAGCCAGCTGACCTCAGCAATGAGATGGGTCATTCTACATCCTCATCTGAATCCAGTTTGCATTTCTGGCAGTTCCCTGTAAATATGCTGCTACATCCAGTTTTGAATTATCTTCAGCAAAATTTGACTTGCATGTGATATTAATGATACTGTTCTATACTTTCCACATTCTGTGGGATCACCTTTCTTTGGAATGGGTACAAATATGGATCTCTTCCAGTCAGTTGGCCAGGTAGCTGTCTTCTACATTTCTTGGCATAGATGAGTAAGTGCCTCCAGCACTGCATCCATTTGTTGAAACATCTCAATGGGTGTTCCGTCAATTCCTGGAGCCTTGTCTTTCCCCAATTCCTTCAGTGCAGCTTTGACTTCTTCCTTCAGTACCATCAGTTCTTGATCATATGCCACCTCCTGAAACGGATGAACATCAACCAATTCTTTTTGGTACAGTGATTCTGGGTATTCCTTCCATCTTCTCCTGATGCTTCCTGCCTCAGTCAGTATTTTGCCCATAGAATATTTCAGTATTGCATGTTGAGGCTGGAATTTTCCTTCAGTTCTTTCAGCTTGAGAAATGCCGAGCGTGTTCTTCCCTTTTGGTTTTCTAACTCCAGGTCTTTGCACATTTCATTACTTCATCCTCTTGAGCTGCCTTTTGAAATCTGTTCAGGTTTTTTTTTTTTTTTCTTTAAATCTTGTCATTTCTTCCATTTGCTTTAACTACTGTCTTTTATGGGAGCTCTGGTGGCATAGTATCTAAGGCATTTGACTGCTAACCACAAGCCTGGC